TTATATCAAATGGCATCGATGTTCTGCTTGCTATCTTTACTTGCGCATATGAGTCTGTCACGCATATTTGCGTTATTTCAACTAATTTTCTTGGTATTCCCATTTCTAACATGGCTATCCACAATTTGCTTCTTATTATAGAATGATAATCATCATCATCATTGGCTTTTACAACTCTTCGTGAGTTTTTGCCGCGTTTACTATTGCCTTCCATTGATTCCGATCCTGTGCTATTATTTCCCATGGCCTTACTTCCATCTTCTCCAGGCCTTCCCTGACTGCGTCTTTCCACCTTTTTCTAGGCCTTCCGGTCGATCTTCTACATCTGGTCTTTCCCAAAACACATTGCTAATCGGCATAGAATCATATGCTTGCTGGAAATCTATGAAAATTTGTTGTACATCGCGGTTGAATTACCAGTTTTTTTCTAATATTTGTCGGATGGTAAATATCTGATCTATAGTTGACCTTCCAGCACGGAAGCCGCATCGGTAGCCGCCTAGAATATCTTTCGAATATGGTATGAGTCTCTTTAACAAGATAATTGATAGCACTTTATATGATGTACTAATAAGCGATATGCTCTATAGTTTCGGAATTGTTCTTTGTTCCCTTTCTTATATATGGGAATTATAATGCTCCCATTCCATTCTCTAGGCATTTTCAGTTGTTGACATACTCTCAGAATCAGGTCATACAATTTTTGGTGTAAAATGTTTCCTCCGTTTTTTAACAATTCTCCATTTATGCAATCATTTCCTGGTGCTTTATGGTGTTTTAGAGACGCGACAACTTCAATTTCCAATTTTATTGTAATAATTCATGACGCCACTTTTGAAAGGTTTGTCTTCATTACAAACAATATGACTATTTTTTTAGTAGCTTCACAGAACACAAACTCTGACAGTAACTCCAATAAAGTTCTCAATAAAAGAAAAACAACAAAATAAACAATGCCTGTAGAAATCCATATGAAACCAATTAAATAATTCAAGCCTCCATGTACTATACTCCTATTACAGGTCTAATGTTTATGTACAGCAAACGATGCACCATATACCTATATACCTAATTATTTTTCTCTTTCTGCTCTCTCTTACCTATAGCATTAAATATGTAATGATTTGTGCAGATTGACTCTCATATAAATTTGTAACGGCGAACGCGTGTATAGAAGTATAACTTCTACCGGCAGTCCCACCCGTTTTTTTTTTAAGTAGCCGAATTGATTCTGTGGTGGGAGAACTTTTCTTTTGTCAGTACGGCGAAAAAAAAAACTTAATTCCAAACTTCAAATACTCGGCGCCAGGAAAAATTTATCAGATATCCGTTAAATATATACCAAACTGGCTCTTTTTTACTACAAAACTTTAATATATTACATGAGTCCAGATCTGTGTTTTTTTCAATATACTCGACTGTATATCAAAAGATATTAAATCACAATTTTAACCTAATGCGAGTTATAAATATTTTTGTCCGGTTCGATTGTATCTGTATCTGGCAGTCATAATTTAAATAGAAATAATTTTGATAAATTACAACATAAAAACCACAATGAACACAAAGCCCAGTGTGTATTCAAAAGTAAAATAAATTTCCATTAATGCTATTAAAGAGTAAATTGAACCTATGGGTTGTATTTATTCGGTTCGTCTGTGTATAACAATAGAATAAAAATGAATGTTCCAATTAAATATTCTAGTAGTTTTTAAAATAATAGAAACTGAAAATAAACATTATATTATAAAATAAACTTTGTTATGTTATGTTTTGACTTTCAGATTAGATTACAGTTTCAAACTATTGCAACGATAATTGCAATCGTTATACCTGTCAATGCTTTGCGTATGAGAAAAAAAGTGATAAAAAGTAGTGAATAATGATTATTCAATGATAATAGAGCATGAAATATAATAATTTAATTAAGAATAATTTTAAAAAATCGGTTTCTTTTAAAATAGCGGTGGACAAACCTATTCACCTCAAATAACTTTTAAACTTCTAATTTTTAGGAAAAACGCAAAAACACATCAATTAATATTTGAAGAGGGAGACATTATATCATATTTGAGGTTGCTAAAAAATGCACCCTCTCACCCCCGTATCATCCCTTTATTTTTTTAAATTACTTCCCCTTTTTTTTATTGATATTTGGATTCCCCTTTTTGTACTGATTTCAGAAATTTACAACACATGATGCTTGAAGAGATTAGTTTATGAGAAAAATAAATAAAAAGCAAGAGAACTGGATTAAAACAAAATAATTTTTAACAATTTTATTGCACACATTTAGAATGAACATTTCACTACCAAAAATGTTTACAAATAATTGTTCAAAATGACTGCCATTCACTTCCATACATTAGTACGATCTATTTTGAAATTCGTCTCTGACATTGCTTAACACGTCTGCATTTAATTGTTGACATTCATCCTCTATTCTTTGTCGTAAATCATCTAGAGATTCTAGTTGAGTAGCATAAACTTTTGTTTTTAAATACGCCCATAAGAAGAAGTCTATAGGTGTTCAACCCGGTGACCTAGATGGCCAATCTATCATCTGTCGTCTTCTACATATCCAAGGACCGGAAAACGTTTCGTTAAAAAATTTTCGCACAGGTAAAGCAAAGTGTGGAGAAGCTCCATCATATTGAAATACAACTAAATCTTCGGAAAGGTTATCATCATGTTCTACTATTGTTCTGATACGATCAATCAATTGCCTGAATAATTCAAGATACAATGCACCAAGTGTCCATTGATAAAGAAGGATCCGATAATTGAAGGATAATTGACAAACAATCACACACATATCTCTTCTTCATTGGATCAAATCTATCTCCTCAAGAACTTCCCGTTTACTGTCAAACAACTGCAATAATATAATTGAGTTCTCCATTCAGCAATACATAGTAGTTTTAACCATGTTCTACCATCCATCACTTAATAGAGTACCGGCATCATTTGTTTAACTTTGTATCGAGACCTGAGGATGCTTTGCATATTTTAGAAAGCGAAAACCGGTCGTCTGATAGTTAAATTAAATTGATTGTGAGTAAGTCTTATTTATTATTTCTTTACCTATTTGAAATGGACTCACACAAGCAACACATTCATGATATGAATAGAAGACTTTTTTAACTGCTCAGAAAAAGATTTTTTTTGTCTTTATTATTCTTTGCCTATTAAGCACCTGGAGTACACATAGGAGAGTGCCTAAATTAAGGCCTTTTAAAATTTTTTGCAGTTTTCCATAAATCATAGTCAGTAGCTTGTGAAGCTGTTAAATTCCTAAGATAATTTTGAATTTCATTGTTTTTATTAGTATTTAGTAAGGTATTATGTTCTACGGTAACTTGATATATTTTGTAGAAGCACAAGTTTTTTACTAGATTTTTTTTATTTTCCCTTTCTCGGCTATATTTTATTTAATTATCAAAGGCAGTTCTTGAGATCTGCTAATTAAGACTTGGCTTAGAGTTGTCTCTAATATCACTTTTTGTATCGATCTTCTAAAATATTTCACCGTGTTCTCTATTTTATCATTGGTTTTTAGGAGGTTTTAGAGGAATAGAGAGTGATAGAGATCCAACAAGGTATCCAGATATTCACGAAAATCATTACAATTAGTGTATTTAGTGCCTAAGCTTTCCGCTGTTTTTTATTTTATATCAGTTCTGATTATAATCTGAATCGGAGAATAATCAGTGGACAATTTAAAACAAGAATTTGCCAACACTATATTTTGGTAATTCTCTTGTAAATTCCAAAGTCACAAAGTCAACAAGATCAGGGATTTTAGTTCTGTTGATTGGCCAACAGATTAGTTTACCTGTTGACATAAAGGCAAGACCTTTGTTTTCAGTTGCTTTTAATAGTTGTATACATATTATTGATGTTAGTAATCTAGAGCTTCATTGTATATGCTTGGCATAATAATCATCAGCCGCAATAAATCTATTGCCAAGTGTAGTAAACAGCTGCTCATATTGTTCGCTAATTATTGATTGCCTTGGTGGGCTATATATTGCAGAAACAGTTAGTAAACCATGCCAGTCCTCTGTGCTTATATTGGTTGCTTATATGTGATCCAATGAATATTCGTTTAGTTCATGGTGCTTGATTGTCGACGTAATATTAATTAATATTTGCGGTTCCTCAGTGTGCCGTGCCATCTTGTGTAGTAGTTTGTGTAGTTCGAGTGTTTAAAATATCTTCGATGTGTAAAATGGGTTTCAGAAAAAGGCATGATATCTATATTATGGTCAATAATAAAGGCTTTTACTTCTGTTGCATGCTTTGTTAGACCGGTGGCATTCCATGCAGCTATTTTAAGAACAGTAATTAATTTGTTTATCACGACAGTAGTAAAAAAATTTAGTTTCACATGGTTTTATGGACACTGTACAAGATTTTTAAATTTTTTTGGACTGTTTCGTTTTCTCAAATCAAGGAAATCTTTTTCTTTTTATTTTATTTTTTATGTGATTCTAAGACTAGATTCTAAAAGATTTTTATGGAAATTAAGTCTATTCCTGTATTTGCTCTAATAGATTTTACTGAAATCATAAATCCTGTAGAAAATATTGTTAAATAAAATTAAAATCCGCTTATTACAGCACTAAGTAATCAATACGAAACCCCAAGAAAACGGGAAAAATGAAACCTGTATTATTGTTCACTCATGAAAAAGAATATAATTAATTTTATTTCGAATAAAAGAGATTACAAGACCTTTTTTAAATGAGATTTTATACTCTTCAAATAATTCACTAAATGACCTTGGCACACTTAATACATATCTTATGTATTCTCATAACAATAATAATATTTATGAATGTGCCTTTAATTAACAACCTTTTTTTTAAAAAGTCCTTTTAATTAGTCCCTTTAATTAAAGTTTGTATCATGAAATGTGTTGGAAGCTCGGTTTGATGATCTATTGTGCTTCTTCAGAAAGTGTTCTTGGTGGTATGTAGCGATACTGGTCTCGTTGGATGTTGGATGTTGGAAATCCTGGTGGTGGCTGTTGTGGCGGTGATGTTGACCTGAGGGCTTGTGCAGTAGGGTATCGTTCAAAGGAAAAAGGTCTTGATGGAGATTCCTTTTCAGAATTGTTTTGTTACGTACAGGTATAACTGTGAAATTAAATGAATATTGTGCAATGACTTACTTTTAAATATTTTTTTTTAAATAAATATAATAATTGTTTAATTTTAATTTCAGATCCAGATCGGTGTAACAACGGAGCCCGGAGCTGGAAATACTGCCAACGAAACAACAGATGGAGGAACTACATTTGGAAAATTAAAGCAAACTATCTCATCATCTTTATTAACCGCGCAAGATAAAGGTATAAAAAGTATTTATTAATATTGTGTTTGCATTTGATTCATTTAAAATGTTAATATATATATATATATATATATATATATACTTCTAGCGGTTAATGTGGGCTCCGTACTAAAACGGTATTATACTAACTCCAGGAGAATATACGCCGTGTATATTATTATCTGAGTAGCGCTTTATGTAGACTCCGACCAACACGTCGGATCAAGTGGACTCCGTAACTGGATAAAACATTTTTGGGATCCGTATACAGCTTTTAGCGTACACAACTAAGCTCCTGCGATGTTGCCAGTAGTTGTATTAGTCGTAGATTTTCAAATTTTAGAGCAGGTACATTTTAGAACTTAAAATTTATTTAAATATCTACCAGGTTAGTCATCGAGGAATTCCAAGAATATTTGGCTACTGTTTTTAAATATATTATAATATAAATTGTTAATATAATTTTATTTTATTTTTATGTTCAATAAGCACTTTTATAATTTAAATTACTTGCTCTAATTATTTTCAAACTTTACTATCCATTATAAACTTATTAATGCTAATATATAGCATTATTTTATAGCATTCTAATATTTTAGCTATGGATTAAATCCGAATAGCTTTTTGATATTACTTTACTTTCTCGGAGACATTATATTGTAACACAAGGATCTTATTAAATTACCAAAACCTTCCTTTCATATTTTATTCACTTATAAGGGGCAGCACTAACATCAGTAAGATAATAAGGCGTACCTATAGTTCTGGGCAGCTTAATAGAAAACTTGAATGTAGAAATTTTATTGGTTTCGGGACTGCTAACTGGATTGAGGAAGCAGGATATCAGCATTAAGTTAATGCATATAGTAATTGTTGCTTGACGGTTGAAATATCAAATACCAAAAGGTACGACGGTGGCAGTCTGAGAAAGCAAAGCAAAACAACTTAAACTATTATTAGACAATATCATATTTCCTAATAAACTAATATTCACTTTATAACGAGACAAAAAGATATCGAAACAGTATGTACATACCAACGGGTTTCCTATGTCGGCATCCAGCAAAATTGTTGTAATATTGATACGGGAAACAAAACCTTGAGAGAGAAATTGGCCCCAAGAAACTCTGCCTTAATAAACAGTCGAATAAAATACAGATTCTCGATTTAAATGGTCAAAAATTTAAAGAACAATTTATTAAAATAGAAACAGCGCCGATTTACGATGTAATCCATTAACGGCCCAAGGTACAAAGCAGGTCCTAGTTATGCTGATGATTACATCTATAAATATGTAAACGACATACTGAACAAAGTCCAGAGAGCACGAAAAAAGTTTCAAGTAAAATCAACGAAGTGAAACCAAATACCAGCGCATAAACATAAGAGACCGTCAGTAAATCTAGATACAACGTTAAAGTCAACAATTTCAATTTCGAAAGTATGGAAGACATTAAATATCTTAGAACAATAATCGCAGTTGGTAATACTACCACTGAAGGAGTTTAGAGCATAATACAAGCTTTAGACCTATTTTTATGTACGGATGCGAATCATTACAATGACTAAAACAAATAAAAAAAGACTTCAAATATTGATAGATAATTGATAGGGAATAAGCACATCTATAGATAAGAATGAACAGATCATATAAGGTGGATAGCAAGAATTTCGGATTGGAGCCCAATAGGAAGGAGAAAAAAGAGGTAGACCCCGAAGATCATGGAGGGATGAAGTGGACGAGGCCATGGAAAAACGAGACCTTAGAGATGGAGAATGGCAGAACAGAGAGGACTGGAGACGTTGGCTGAAAGAAGGAAGGCGGCGACAGCTGTAAAAATCCTTATATAGATAGATAGATAGATAAGAATGAATAACATATCTTAGATAAATAAGCGGAACAAAAGAAACTGTGTATAAACTTGAAATTTCAGAAATAATAATTAAATGAATTAATGTAAATCGTAGGAAAAGAAATAAGAGGAGCCATGACACTGTGAAAAACTAGAAATCTTATATAAAAATACAATAAAACTATTACATTTGCTCTTTAGCACCGTGAGAAGATCAAAATAAAAATCTGCATACATAATTATATTAAAGAAAAGTTAATAAAAACTTCTGTTCGTCAGCAGCCAGAGAAATTACACATTATAATATATTGAATAATGCTTTTAGCATAAAAAAAACGGTGTTATAGTCAATCACAAGAAAACCAAATAAAAGTTCATTAACAGACAAAAGGTATGATATAGAATGGAGCATTAATGTAACAATAAAACCATATACTTTTGAAGGATTGGAGCTATTTAGATATCGCTGATAACTTTGTCACATAAAGATAAAAGCGAAAATGCATGTAGCAAACCATAGACATATAGTACAAATAGACTGAATACTGCCATACATTCACGTTTCCGCAATGCGACAGAGAAAACTGACGAAAAGCAATATCTGTATCTTTTTCTAATGGGACGGGTTTATCGACCGCGTGACCTTCTCATTGGTATTGCTACACATTGCTACATATGTATATGTAGCAAAACTGATTTCCTCATATCACTATTAAATCTACAAAAAGAAGAAACTGCAATATAAACAAAATTTGTTTAGTACGTGTCTAGAAAAGAACTCTAAAAAGAATTTGGAGATAGAAACGTCAACTACATGTGTAATATAAAAATCAAATTTATTCTTTTAACCAAAATGTTCACACCAAGTTTTAATTTATTTAAATATCCGGTAGCTCAAACTACTTGTACGCTATAATAGTATTCAGTAATCCATCTCAATATGTCTGACTTTATTTTTTTTTTAAATTTCTTGGATAGAATGAAAGAAATATGCCACAATATTTATTATGTACTACATATTTTATTTGACGCTTCAATGTTCAAATAGGAGTTCGTTCTTAAAAATGTACAATATTATTTTTACAAGGTATTACGTATAAGATGTTATTTATGTTTTTACTTTATCTAGTTGGTCATAATAATCAATTAGTTCGCGGTTGTTTCGCACTCTGTATTGATTTGTAATATTATCGATAACAGGTTTATATATTTCTCTAATAATTCTTCTTTCTGCGATGCTCAATCGGCTCTTATTTTGTTTTTTCGTCGTCCATGTTTCATGTTTTAATTCTCCCCGTATAATTAGCCCATTAACAGAGAGTCATTCCATCCAATAAGAGTGGAGGCTGCTCAGTCATCAAAGACAATCATTCCATCCAGTAAGGATGAAGACTGCTTAGTCATCAAAGACAGTCGTTCTATCCAGTAGGGGTGAAGGCTGCCTAGTCGTCGAAGAGACAAGTGCTATCTGCCAAACAAGAGAGTCGTGTCTTGGTTAAGGGGTAGCTGCCCTTTGCGCTATCGCCGATTCTTTTGTGGTTGCTGTATGTCAAGGGGTAAGGTCAGCCTACATATCTGTTGCTAAAATTACTTCGCTGCTGTAACGAGTACCATTTACTGGTATATGAATTTTGTTACGAATTTATCTTATGTGCTAAATAAACTCTAATAAATCTTTTACCGCGAATTAAAAAATGTTTTAACCTTTACGTTTATCTAAATAAATATTTACTATATTGTATAATAGTTGTTTATTATGTTTGTTTTATTATTTGTATCTCTATAGGTTTAATTTAGAATATAATATTATTTGTCTTATATACAAAATCATACGATTTGCGTTATATTGATATTTATGTGGCAATTAGCTATAGAGTCATTAGTCTTTCCTGTCATATCATATTTTCCTTAATCAACAAACCATAATCGAGCGGTTTAATTTGTGTAATACAATATCCCAATTCGTCTCATAATATTTAGTTTTCAAAACAGCTGTTACGCTAATAATTCGTTCACCTTTGTTAAAGCACTTTGGGTTATGACTACTTTTTCTTGGCTACGCAATTTTAGTTTTTAAATTACAGTATTTATTGATCTGTTATTGATAGGTTATGCAAGTTTTGAGGAATAGTTTGGGATTGATATATGAGGTTGTGAAATATTCGGTATTGTTGATAACTGGGTAGTTGTTATATTTTTATCTGTGTATGTAGTTTGAGAACTTGGGAATAATGTTAAGGGTGATATTTGAGATGGAGTTAATATTGGTATAATTAATTAAGTAGGTATAGTCGAGAATTGTAAGGAAAAGGACTTCGCTGAAGATGGTGATGTGATCAGGACGTCATGTGTGGAAGAGTATTAACTACTGTATTTATAGTAGTAGTTGGCACTGTTGTTGTAAAGTTCTGATTTGGATTTGTACAGAATGACCAATTTGCTACAAAATGGTCAGATTTTTTACAATAGTAACACATCTGTTTTCTAAAGATAAGAAAACACGATTAGATGTTTGATCGTGGTTTCTGACAATTGAGGGAGGAATTAATGTAGCTTTCAAAGGAAAGATAAATGTATGTCTTGGAAAGCTCAATATATATCTATATACTGGGTTTGTTGTACCTCTTCGTAAAAAATTAATTGGAGGTAATAAATTGAGGCCTAATTTTTTAAGTTCATATTCTATGAAAGTGTGATAAATACTAGGACAAACATTAGAGATTAGTAATCTTTCATTTGGTGTAATTTAAGCGTCGAGCATAAATTATTTGATGATTGATAGTTATTCTTTCGTTGTCAGCCTTCATGACAGTTTTTTCTAATTCTTCACTAGCTAGGTAAATACAAATACGGTGATTTGAAATTCATGATGAAAAAATGTATATATCTTGGTTCTATAATTTTTCACAGTGCAAGTAGATATTGGAGTTTTGGAATTGAATTGATTAACGCTACAGAATATGAAGAAGTTTTATATGATGTCAATAACGTTTGGGGCCTCGACGCCACTGGACTATTAACATCATCCATTTTCGTTGTTTAATCACATCAGGTTTTATAAATAATATGAACTTGTTTTGAAGTAAGTATCTAATTAGATTAAAATTCCTTACCGATTTTCTCCATTGTTATTCTTCATTGTTATTTACGGTATCACAACAATTTA